AATATTTTTTTCTTATATTCGACTTGATGCCAATGTAGCTTGCCATCACCAGTGTGTGAATGTGTGTGTGAATGGGTGGATGACTGAATGTAGTGTAAAGTACTTTGGGGTCCGTAGGGACTAAGTAAAGCGCTATACAAATACAGGCCATTCACCATTTGCAATAATCACTGTGCAATATATTCACTCAAATGTGCAATCCTATTTATCCATATTATATATTCTGTATTTATATATGTATATATGGTATATTTATGCTTATATCCTTACTCTCATTCCCCTTATTGTATCTGTAACATGCAACTTCTGTCAGTGCTGTGCTACTGGAAACTGAATTTCCTGGAGGAACCCACCCGAGGGATTAAAACAGTTTCATCTAATCTAATCTAATATAAAGTATTCATATGATTTTGCTTTCTGTTATTTTTAATCCTCATTGTTTAGTCCTCAGGTGTGACTGAAAACCTACCTCAGACAGAGTCCTCCTCAGCTCTCCCTCACACTTCTCCAGCTCCACACTCTTGCTGCTGTAGGAGTCCTTCAGGCCCAGCATGACCTCCTCCCGTTCCCTCAGCTGGGCATTGAGCTCCTTTAGCTGGCCTCTCAGGGCCACCATCTCTCCAGCTCGCTGGGTCACTTCAGCCTGACTTTCCCTCAGCTGCTGCTTCAGCAAGGAGATCTCTCCTGCTTTCTGGCACACCTGCCACAGGAAGGTTAGACAGTGAGAGGTATTTTGTAAATGTGCTCCCTATCTCATTTCATACAGACAGATTGCATACATGCAAAACTTCAATTAAAAAAAAAAAAGAAAAAGACGTCCCGCAGTTGATTTTCTGTGTAAACATTTATTTTAACTAATACAAGAAAGTGCTGTGGTCCAATTTTTTAACTTTAATGACATTTGGTTTTTGATGTAGTCTTGCTAACCGACAAACAAATATAAACAGAACTTAAAACACCTCTGCATCAGCACTTGCATTGCAAAATAGCATCGCCAAAAATACTGAAACCTTTAACCTAACAGAGTGTACTGCACCCTTTTGAGATTAACTGTCCAGTCAAATGCTTTCTGTGGCACTTAATGGGCGTTCCATGTGATGGTTTGACTGTCTGAGAAAACTGCTCTGAAGTTCAGCTGTACCTTCTCCAAACTGTAACTTTACACTGTTTTCCATAAAGATCAAGATCAAGACTCATACCAGGTCTCAGGAGAGCAGCACTGTTTGATGAAGCCTCATCACACAACTTATAAATCAGCATAGTGGGGACTTTTACAGCTAATGTGACTTAATCCAAGGACCTTAATTTGTCTTAGCTGTCCAAAAGGTATTCCTTTTAAATTATTGAGACTGGTCAAAATGCCTTTTGGTAAACTTTCACTGATAAAAATGTTGTATTCAGGCTGCGATATGCCTTTATCTTGGTGCTCAGTTACTATTATATGAAGGTTTCCTTGGTTCTTTTGCAACAGGTTGAACCATTTTTCATTTCAGTCTGGGGACAAAATATTTGTGACCTTCATACTTTGAACATATTTGGCAACAGTTTTCTTTCTTATCACCTCGTCCAGTAGTTTTAAAAATAATAATTTGATAAGTCAATATTCTATGTAGATCACTTAAGTAGATTTTCACAGAATAAGCAATAATCCCTCTTTTAAAATCAAACACAAGGCGTCAACATATGCTTTTCCTTCAGAAAAAAGTCTTATTTTTTAAATAAAGAATCACAACCTGTTTGACCACTTTTAAAATTACACAGCAAAGTTAATTTCCCACACACATGCACATATTCTGAGTGCTCATCAATCCCAACATCTCGACATCTCCTCGCATCTCACCTCCCATTTGGTCTCCTCTAGACGAGGCAAGATGTCAGCCTGCTCCTTCCTGTAATCCAAACATTTTCTCTCCAGCTCCTCTCTCTGGGCCAACAGAGCCGCCATCTCCTCCTGGAGCCTCCTTTTGTCCTGGGACAGACGGGTTATCTGGGCCTGCAGGGCAGTCTGGGAACGCTGAGCACGACGGGTAACCTGCAGATGAAAATGCAAGCTTTGAACAAATATATACTTGGAAGACCCAGTGTATGATTAGACAAGTTAATAACATACGCTGATACATTAAGCTATAAAAGTTTAGAACATGTATAGTGTTTAAATGCTTTATATAATATACTGGATTTTAGCCATATTTTCTTATTTCTTGAGTGCCAGATTAACCATTTAAAAGCTTACATCTACTTCACATGTAGCTTTTCTAAAAGTTTTTAAACTGTAATAGAAATTCTTTTATAACCATCACTTGAACCTATCCTAATACATTTTCATATAATGCATTTTCTGTAGTCTTACTAATCTGACAGAGATATACATGTCATAAATACTTACATATTGATTTAAAAATAAAATATTATAAACTCTTAATTGGACTAATTTAAAAAGAAAAATGTGACGTTAGCACAACTAACTTTGAATTTCTTTAATAAACTTTCCATCATTTTTGTTTGGAGTAAAGAAAACAAAGTGCAAATGCACCTTAACATTATTTTGCATGAACGTTTGCAATGAAGTCACCTGCTGCAGACGTGAGGCATAGTTTTGTCTCAGCTCATCCATCTGTCGCTCCCAGACACGTTGCTTCTCCTCAAACACCTGAATGATCGCTGCCTCACTTTGGTCCAGGTTTCTGCGCATATGCTGCACCTGATGAAAGGAAAGCAGCATATGGAAGTGGAAACTCTATCAGATTGTAGGAAGGCAGTAAACTTTATGTGTGAGGAATGTAGTATTTGTAAAATGTGACAGATTTAATTCTCAGATGTTTAAAGAAAATCCAAATCTTAATCATTACAATTTTCACCTATGTGGCCGTGTTCACATTGTTGCATCAATTATATCACATTATTTATAGGGTAAATAAGAATAATAATTATTATTAACAGTTTGGGAGTGATACAGTTTAGTTTTATCCAAATACAATGGGCCAACCTAAGTCACATTTGATTAAAGTAAAGGAATGATCTCACGTTTTTTCTCTATGTTTTTAAGTTCTGCGTACAAAAATTGAAACTCATTAATCTCAAATGTACTGGTGTGGTAGCTATTTTGGAAAAGAAATCTGAGAATGTAAATCAAAACAAACTCATGTCTCATGAACTCATGTCTGAGGTGAGATGGCCCTTTAAATGCTAACATGTGTCAGATATTTTTGAGCGGGGTCTGACCTCTTGCTCTTTCTCCCACAAGCGATCCTCGAGGTCCTGGATGATGTCATCCGAGGAGGGAGAGGGGCGTAGAGGTGCTGGAGCGTCACTCAGGTGGCTCAGCCTCTGATAGGACGAAGAGCTCTTTCCTGAGGAGGACCGGCCGCTGTCTGAGGCGCTGATCCCATTCTGAAGGTGAGAAACACATCACGGTACATCAAATATGATAAGAGCAGGGCCCATTTAGTCTTAGACAAAGCAAGCATGGATGATGGCTGCACCTGGTAGCCAGGCTTCTCCAGCTTCTCTAGGCCTGCAGCGGCTCCAACCATGCCCAATCTGTTGATGTGGCTGGTAGAAGCACTGAGAGGCCCCAGGACTGCTGGGGGTCCACAACCAGACCCTGAGCCCGTGTAGGTGGGCAGACTGGTCAGGGAGTTTCTCCCTGAATCGGACATGCCTCCCTGAACCACTTCATTACCAGTTCCCCCTCCATCACTTCTGCTAACCCTCACTGGGCTGTCCTGATCAAGGAGCAGGGCTTCTGGGACCTCTCCTGACTCACCTCCTCCTCCATCCCTGCCTCTCCTGCCTACTCTGCCCTCGCTGAACCCTTCACTCCTTCCCTCATGCTTTCCCTCATTTCCAGCCCCTCCTGCCTGGCCTACCAGATTCTGCATGGAGTGGAAGCTCTTGGGCACCACTGGCTTGAATGCAGAAGGACGCACAAGGCCTGAGTTGTTCTGCATTGCCTGTGAAAGACAAGAAGAGGGACAGAAGAATGACAGTCAAAAAATGTGAGCCATATGAGCTACAGTTTACAGACAAAAGTAAAACAAAGTACAAATTTCAGCAATAAAATGATGATATTATGTATTTGAATGCTGCACCTGATATTATTAAAGTATTATGTATTTAAAACCACTTAAAACAAGAGTTTTTGAATTTATTTCTTCCTACTAATACTCATTTTCCACATTGCATGCATTATATTCCTCAAGTATATGTTTTTGATGGTTACTATAACTATCTGTTTTTACAGATCTCCATCCATCCATCATCTTCCGCTTATCCGGGACCAGGTCATGGGGGCAGCAGCCTAAGCAGATCTCACGAAAAACACGAGATCATTTTACAGAGCTCATGCTTTTTAAAAGTTATTGCGTGTGAACGTTAATATACAGCTTCAATAATCTTTGACATCCAAATAAAGTTGCCATCTTTTTTTTTAAAAAAAAAATTGCTTTGTGTTAGTAGCTCTCCACAAAAACCTCAGCAAAGAAACAGTTTGTGGAAAGATGGTGCTTTATTCTGAAGATTTTGGAAAACAACATAGAAAAGATGAACTGTTTACACACTGTCTACACTGTTTCTTAATAAAATAATGAGAAAAAATCTCAAAAAAAAATGTTTTTGAGTAGTTTGAGTTAAAACATACTTGTAACCCAATAGATTTGTTTTGAATCCTTCTCTGAAGGTGCTGACCTGCTGTGTGTGAAGTACCTGTTCAAGTTTTCCTGACACAGGCATGATCTTGGGCGGGTTGTGGTTTGGAGGGTTGTGGTTATGGCTGGCTGGATTGTTCTCGCTGTCGGCTCTGACGGCTGCCATCTCTCTGTGCTGGTGTTGGCTCATCCCAACACTGCTCTTCTCACTGGCCCCTCGACCCACAATGTTCCCACAAACATCTAAACCTGCAGCCTGCATTTCCCTCTCTCGCTCTCTTTCCATCCTCTCGTTCTCCAGCCTCTCTCTTTCTCGCTCCCGCTCCCTCTCTCTCTCGCGCTCTCTCTCCCTTTCTATCTTCTCCCTTTCAATCCTCTCTCGTTCCCTCTCTCTGGCTCGCTCCCTCTCACGTTCCCTCTCACGTTCCAGCCTCTCCCTCTCCACTCTTTCCCGCTCCCTCTCCCGGTTCCTCTCCCTCTCTCGTTCCCTCTCTAACCTCTCCCGGTCCCAGTCTCGGTCCCGGTCCCTGTCTCTCCCCCTCTCACGCTGCCTCTCCCACTCCCTCCTGCCCGCTCCGTTGCCACAGTCCAACTGGTTGTTGTTGGACGGGGCTGTCATGGTGCATTCAGTGTTGGTGGAGGAGGCTGTTTCGGTGGGCCGGTCAGTCCCGGTACAGGTCCCAGTCCCGATACTAACACTCCCTCGTTCATCGCTAGAGGCCGTCCCGTCTGATATTGTCGCTGGGGGGCGTGGCAGCCGCTCTGCGCTGCAGCTGCGATCAGCAGGGCAACGGCGAGAGAGAGGAGGTGCTCGGGGCAGGGTGGTCCTCGTGCCCACAGACTTCATGGCAAACTCCTGCTCTCCTGCCACCCCACTGCCAACACTGCCCATAGTGGGGGTCAAAGGTCAGGATTAGAGGTTAGGAGTCAGGATTGGGGAGGGTCACAGATACATTTGGAAGTAGTGTGGGTCATCACAACCTAATGCAGGTAGTGGGGGCACACACACTAGAGGAACACAGAAAAACGAAAGGAGTTATACAATATTGTAATTGCATAATGACTAGTTATACAATAACAACTGCAGAAGAGATTCCAGCCCACATACAGGGGCAGCGTGGTCCTCCCACCATGATAAAAATGAAAAGGGTCAGATAGATAAGTCTGGACAACTGTGTGCATAGTGAGGGGAAAAAAAACATAAAAATAAGACTTTCTCCAGCTTGATGATGAAATCACAACACTAATCTCTGTAAACATGTTCTAAGTAAAAGTGAAAATTCTCAAACTAATTTCAGACTTTTTTGTTTATGTTCATAAGTTATGAGATATAGTGTGAACAGGTCACTTATACCAGTCCAACACAAAACACGGACTATGCAGATTTAGTGTCCATTAGCATCACTGAGCTGGAGGATGAGAGTATGTGTCTATTGTTTGTTTGTTTTGTTAGCTTGTTTGTTTTCCCTTTTTCTATGGTCACAAATCCAGGAATACAGTGCAAAAAAAACAGCCCTGCAACAATCACAGCCTGTTTTTTTGAGGAAAGCTCACAATTATTCTTTTTTGTTTGCTTTGCATCAGATAGATGTAGTTTCATTCCCTGATTTTTTCCCTTTGCTTTCTCCTCAGACATAACTCCTACACAATGTATAAAAAAAATGGAACAATATTGCAACATAAAACAACATCTCACTTAACCCATTAAAAAAAAACTATAAAAGAACTTGACATGTACATGTGATGATGTTTGTGGTCTATTGTACTTTCCTGTCAGACCTCTTTCTAAGCAACTGTGATAGAAATCAAACACCAGGAATCACAGAAATCCAGATAGAGTGGGTTTAGGGTGGAGCTGTGTAGAAATACTGTAAACACTAATCACACGTATAGATGGTAACCAGTGCATTATATAGAAGGTTATTTTCTATAGTGGGCATCTGAGAAAAATCACAGCATCCAAACTGGGCTTATATGGAAGTCATTGGGTATAAAGCTAATGATGTTATGCTCAGTACATTTTGGAGCATGTAAACAGGAAAAGGACCTGTTGAGAACATTGAGAACATCTGTAGTGTGGCACAAACCAACACAAATATCACCAGTGACCAAAAAAATACCACGGAGCTTTGTCAACTTATCTCCAACATCTTTATTTTGGAATCTCAACATCAAAACTGCTGCAAAAAATGTTCTTATTGCAGGACTGTGTAAACTTTGCACAAAGTGTATTCCTGTTAATGTGGCCAGTTTATTAGGTACACCCAGTTAAAGCAGTTGGATATCAGCTCTGGAATAACTTTGCATCATTGTAGAAGATGTAGTTTTTACTTCTGCGGACCTACATTACTATACTTAAGCCTGGTTTATCCACTGGGCAAACAGTGCAACAGCTCAGGCTGTTGAATATTTGATTAACAGCAAATTTATTTGCAATCATCCACTAATAATACATCTTAAATACTCCAAGGTAAATGTGTTTTTTTTTTTTCTTTTTTGAATGTTATGCAATTAGGAGTCCAGTCTATCAGAGAGGCCTGTAAATACCCTTCCCATTTACTGTAGTCACAGTCAGTTGTGTTTATTTCCATGGAAAACATGCATAAACAAATGTGCGTTCAACCAAATAGTCACACTCAGACAGTTTACTGGTATTCTGGCTGGTTTCTAAGACTCAACAAGGATCCACAGCTCATGTTTCTCTCATAGCCTCCCAGCAGGTGTATCTGCTTCTGGCTATGTACATAGAGTTTCTACTATTTCTACAATAAAAGAAGGGCGATGGTGTACAATTCAGCAGCAACACAAACTATAATGAAATTACCATAAAGTGGAAATGACATGTCTCTAAAACAGCTTTAAGAAAAGCACATATATGAAATATGTTATTTGAAGTGACCTGAACTGCACTGCAATGATTGTGGTTTCTATTCATTTTATGAGTGCCTTTCGGTGAAAGAAGACTACATGTTACACACATCTCTCAGTGGAAACCCTAATGCTAAACATAACAACATTACCATCTGAGTCCAACCTGGGACCATGGGTGAGTGCCACTTGAATCTCTTTGCGGCCTGTTAGCAGTTTATTTATTTTGTCTAGTACAGGCCAAAAATAAAATTCAACAACCCTGAAAACAAAACCAGCCACAAAACCGAACCAACATCTAAAACTGAATCTAAGAAAGCAGAATATATCACAAAACTGATATAACAGTGCATTCATTTTTTTTTAGCTTGGTTTGCCAAATAAACAGGGAACTCTGAGGAGCATATACTCTGTAGAGAAGGATAAGAACACAGAAGCCTTGATATGGCCTATATAAGCTATGTTTATATGTGTATAATCTGCAGCCACCCACTACTCTGAATCGCAAAATAGGATTCAGGATATTTTTACACCAACCAAAATCATACAGTAGATCGATCGATCGATAGATAGAGTAAGCAATGCACTTCCCTTTCTCAGGCCATTTACTACAGGTTTACTTCCACTTGGGTGAATAGTAGTAGTAGTAAAATACACTGCCTATCTGTCTGCTGCTCTGCCTCATTCCCCTCCCCTCACGACTCCCTCTCTCCGTTTTCTCTGCATCCCTGGGCGGCAAGGGCGGCTTTAGCAGCATCCGCATCAAGCCCTGAATCGACTGCGCTCCCAAACAATTACTTGCTAGGCCTGTGCCAAAACACAAGCGCACGACCCTCGCTGGCTGGGAAAAATGAATCGAGATTAAAATGCAGATCGTCATTGACATTGACGACGTATCATGCAGTGGCTTTGATTTACCGATTGTAGCATCCTGGCGGTCCATCATCAAAGGCTACTCACTATTTTGCAGCTTGGCGGTTTTGTAAGATGGCAGCCCCAACAAACAATAATGTTAAAAGACAGAGACGTCAGTCCTGGTCGGTCGGGCTCTGAATTATTCCGCGTTGATGCCGTGGCTCGGTAATATTAAGGATGCTGTCTTCGACCGCTGTCAGCGTCGGATGCTGATGATGGAGTCGGTCGGTTGATACGCGCATCAGCTGAGAGACACACACCCACCTTTGGTCCCGCCCCTCCGGCTGCACGATACAAACGCCCCCTTTTGGCACTCATCCAGTGCTCTCCCCCGGGAAAAACCTATAGAGGTATTATATGCTGGACAGTTCCTCGGATGGATGGATGGATGGATGGATGGATGGTAAATGTCAGCTTAATCTTCATAATCATAACGCATATGAAACAAAGGACACGTGATTTTTTTGGGCAATGCAACATACTCAACACTGACACATCTTTCCCCATATATTTATGTGACATATATAAGTAGCCCGATGATGCAGAACAAAAGGATCCTTCATTTGCAGGTTTGTCTCTGTCTCCTTCTTTTTGCTCTGTTTTGGTATCTACCAGTGTCTGAATCAAATATCTGATTCTCCAGCTTTTCCTTCTCTATGATCTCCAGCCAGTCACTATTTTAGAATTGTGTATTAGATTGTGAAGAAACAGAGCAGTGAGCTGTAAATCAAAAGCAGTAATGTTTATTGTGGAAAATGTGCCTAGAACAAAATAGAACCACCGATTTTAGATAAGAGTCATCTAAAATAAAACATACAGCTAAAATAATTGCCCTGGGCTACATCTTTTCACTTTTGTAATTTACAGACATACAGCAGTATGGTGCACCTTGGTGATGTGGCCCTGGGTTCGAATCTGACCTGCGGTCTTGCTGTGTGGGGCTTTTTTCTTCCCATGTTTGTTTGAGTTCTCTGACTTTCTCCCAAAGTCCAAACACAGCCTCCTGAGAATCAGCTCATTCATTTATGTCCTCTGTAATGGACATTTGTTTTTGGCCAATATCTTTTGAATTATTTGGTTTACCTTAATAAGTCCTGATCTACTAAATAGAGGACATTCCTGGCTTTCTGTTGATATCTCATGCATTTGAGTGGCCTCTTTGAGCTCCAAAGAGGCAGGAAATCTCTCTC